TAATTTTCAGAAAAGAAATCTCATATTGAATGTTTTAAAGACTTCACTCTCCAATTTCTACATCTGTGGTTTTTTTTTAAAGATTTAAAATACTACATCTCCTGTTTCATATTTCATTAGAAATGTTTTTGTCTCAAGAAGAGAGAGAGAGCATCTTCAGAAATTATTTATTGTATTTCTTCCTCATTGCCAGCACAGCTCACATTCCAAATTTCAATACCATTGCATCATACTCGTAGTTCTGTATTTTAAAATATCTCTAAAATAGAGAAAGCATCCACTGAAATGATTTGTTTTATTTTTTCCTCATTGTTAACATAGGACATACTGTTGCTTCATTATTTTGCATTGTATCCTTCAATAAATTTGACATTGACAGATACAAAAATATAAAAACTGATGGGTCTGTGAAAATTCTTTCCACCCTTTAGCAATATCCTCTTTTAATTGTGGATTCTATAGTGGATCACTTGCATTCAGTTGTACCTTATTAAAATCTTACCTTTTTAATTTCCTGAGCAGCCTTATTATAATTTGTGGTTTGGTTTATTTAACTACTGCAAAGCACACGAGAGCTATCTGCCTAATGGGAAGGATGACTTTGTGGAGGGCTTTCTGAGGGAAACTGACTCGTATACTTGTTACACATGAGGGGGGAACCATGAAAAAACCCATGCAGCAAGTCTGTTTGCCAGGATTCTAATCCCGGATCGAATACCAGTGTTCGGTGACATTACCACCCGGCCACTGGTGGGCACTGTTATAATTTATATAAGATTTGTTATCACTTGGCATATATTACCTTATAATTTAAAATATTTTGCTTTCTTGTTTTCCTCAATGATCTAGCTGTTGCTCTATTGAAAGGTTATAAAAAAAAATTAAAGTAATTACACAAATTTAGCTAACACATGCTGTATAAATGCAGTTTTGCATGGAAAATCTGGCTATCAGAAGATTAAATCAATTCTTCACAGCATTTAATGTAACTACATTCATGAAATATTTTTTTTAATCCAATGGCAGGTACTTGCCTGTTCAGCATTGACCTTTCATTGAAATATAGCTGTGTATTGAGAATAGTTATGTAAAGGTTTCAAAAATGGAAAAAGAAAAATTTTTGTTCATTTGTTAGGTCATAATAACCTCTGTTGTTTAAATGGAACCAGTATTATCACCAAGTTTGTTGTTGTTGGACAAGCAAAACTAGACAATCTCCATAAATACAAAAATATCTAAAAAGTCTAAAAACAATAGAAGATCCATAAATCATCAAGTTTTAATTAAAAAAAATTGTGAACTTGCTGAGCAAATATTTTAAATTCTTTCCATTATAGGACAACATGTACCAAATAGTTTTCTGTAGAAAGGTATATGGGCCAACATGTTATTTTCAGCATGAAAACTAAATCCTCAGCTCATTTTGACTGATATATTCTTCCCTTTTTACACAGTCGGATGAACTCTTATATCTAACAGATATTTCATTTTTTTAATAATGGAGATGATGTAAATTTATGATCAGTAGACATAACAGCTGTATTACATTCAGTTAAAAATTTGAATTTATAATACATATTAAAAATTAATTTCATACTTATTTTTAATATATATTATCAATGCAAATTCTTAAAGTGGAATGTGTTTATATCTTTTCTTTTTTCAAGATATATACATTTTTTAATACATTTCAAAATTTGATTCATCCTGATTATTCTTAAAGGTAACAGCCATTTTCAAAATGGCAGCACAGTCAGAATTTCACACGAGAGCAATCAATTAATAAAATCTAAAGCAAGACACATCAGTAATGAAACATTTACTTTTTTAGAGAAATTCAATCTTTGTCACTTTTTTCTCCTCATGTACTCAATGGTCTGTTTTCACTTAAGAGATATCTAAGAATTGCACAAACTTGGCGTCCATGGAATATGACACTGTGCATCAGCCGAAACAGACGTGTGTTATGTGCATACCTGGGTTGCCACATTAATACTTTTTGGTAGCATCATGTACTATTTTGGTGACATACTGCTTTGGCTTAATGAATATTTTCTCACCAGTTTTCAGCTGGGATGAGAATAATGTGAAAGTATCTAAAATTCTGAATAACAATCACTCCATCTTTCTCTTATCAACAAATGCTTGTATATATCACTTATTTTTCGTGATATTGTTTTTATTTTCATTTAATATATGCTAATTTTTTTTAATTTACTTTTTAAAAATATCTTAGGTACTGTTCCACCCTTTTATCGAGAAATGTATGATATTTTATGTCCAAATCAAGAAAGTTGTGTTGATCAAGATATGTTTATAAAGCTGCTTGTAAAATCAAGTCTTCCAAAACAAACATTATCACAGGTAATAAGTTCTGTCTAAAAATTTTTACTGTTCATATTTTGTTAAAAACTAATAAATTAGAAAAGAAAAGTGAATGTGATATAGGAATGATAATATTACATATGATTCTTTTTCATAAATAATTTAATAGAATTAGGAAAACAAAAACTGGTCATTCAATACCATAGCGCCAGTCAAAATCAGTTATAGCTGTGTAATGTAAATTTCCAAGCATAATTTAAGTTGATATAAATAGTAATTTATTATATTGTTATATGGTTTTTAATCCAGAAAATATTGCCATGAATAGTATAAAAAAAGTGGCGAAGAGGTGACTGGGAATGAAAAGATTTCAACTGATAATTTAGTGCAGATTCTCACTATGACAGATAGAGGAGCATAAACCGTGTTATTTTGCAACTAAACAAATTATCTATGTGTATAAAATTAACTCGACTAGACATAATTTAGCACAAATCATAATAGCACAAAAAGAAGTGAACTGACCTTGAAAGAAACATTTTAATAGTACAAAATTAATGTTAACATAAGTTTTTTTGTTTGTTTGTTTGTAAAATTCAATTACCTTAAGGTCATAAATGCTTCACTGTTTTACAAACAATTAATCAATATCTTTAATTTGATCATTCCTTCTTGTAATTGTATTAGATTTAAATTTATGATCTAAAATTTAAAATTTCTGGAAATGCCAAATCCCAACAGTTCTGGATTTCACTCTTTATATTGTGTTTTAAAACTTACTGTAACAAAATATTTCTTTTAGTGGTAATGAAAAATAGTCAAATGGTTATAATAGTTAACTTTTTCAATCAAAATTTGAAAATCTTTCTGATTGGAACAAAATGCTTAATTTTTCTCTACAGATATGGGATCTTGTGGATACTCGTCAAGGATATTTGTCACGTACTGGGTTGTATAAAGCTCTAGCTCTGGTAGCATTTGCTCAACAAGGAAAACCTGTTAGTGAAAAACTCATACAGAATTTCACTGGTGAAGGCATGTATTTTTAATATATAGAGACTTTTTTAAGTAACAAATATGGCTTGTAAACAAAATTATAATTATACGTACTATAAGAAATATATATCTGAAAAGAAATAAAATATTAGAAATAAGAAAGAAATAAGTATTTGAATAATTTGTCCTCCTTTATATTTAATATCAAGATATGAAAAAGAATATTATTTCTCTGTTAATTATAATCATCATTTGAATGGACATGCTAGAGGAAAAAAATATTTTCCTAGATTGTTTGTATGTGTATTAAAACTGATTTGAAAAATGCTGATAATTTATTTAAGGTTGATTACTGGAAAAGATTGATATATTTTAAAATAATAGAAAATGGTTGAGCTTTGTTACGGTTACTTGAGTTACATGCTAGGCCTTTGTGTTTCAAAGCATTTATTTAATTTTAAAATAAAATCAAAAAGTGTCTGTCCAAATTTTAGAATGAAAGTCCATAATATCAAAACATTATTTATTAATCAATATAAATATTTGAAAGCCACTGGAATGCTAAATACCAGATCATAGGTATCAGAGGTAACACATTATCATGAATAGATATAAAAATAAAGGCCTGGTGGTGCAGTGGCTAGCGCATCATGCAGCGGCACCACAGGTCCGGGGTTTGATCCCCGGGCTGGGCAAGGTTAACTTGGCCTTTCATCCCTTGGGTCGATAAAATGAGTACCAAATTTACTTGGGAACTAAACACTGGTGGTCCTGCGACAAGCTGACCATTTGTTCAGGGCATATGCTTACGTACCCTAGGGCCCACGGTCAAAATAGCAGATTTCGGGGCACTTGCTGGCTTTGGCCCGCTAGGGCTGTTGCGCCACTGAGTTTAGTTTAGTTTTAGATAAAAAATAATAAAAATAAAATATGAAAAGAAAATGCTTCTTTGTAATAATAAACCAATTGCTGATTTTCTTAATATAACATTCATACCATTATTATTATGGCAGATGATGTTTTTGACATATTAAATTAAATATTCTTGAAATATTTTTATATAAAAGCTAAAATCTTTTAGAAATTATTTGCTTAGTTTTGTCTTTGGATGAAATAGTACTTTTTTATTAGAATTACCAAAGCCTTCTCTTGGAGATTTAACTGATCTTCGAATTTTGAGTATACGTCTGAGGAGGGAGAAAAATCCTATGCGCTTAGGATTAACCTACCATGAGATATGTGCTCTGGACACAGTTTTAATTTCATTGGTTCCCGAAAAGAAAGGATTATTCCTCAAGCATGTAGAGTATGAAGTTACTAGTCAGGTATAGTGCTGATTTTTTAAAGTTGAAATTATAAGTTTCAATGTAAAATTAATTCTACTTTATTTAGTAGTTCATTCAGATCTGTTTGATGCTTTAAGTAGGATAAAATTTCAAAGCAATTATTGTTCTTTTTAAAGAATGTAGTGAAATTTTTTTTAAAATGTTAACAAGTTGAACTTCTGTTAAAAGAAAAACAGGGCCTACTATAGACACTTCCTACAGCATCCTACCATAATACAGTATATTAAAATATCATCATTGAATTTTTTAAAATTCTGTACATCTTCCCTAAACAGGCCTGCCATAAGAGAGAGTATGGATTATTAATTTGAGTAAAGTGCATGAGAGCTTTCAGCCTAATTTCAGTTATAGTTTAAGCCAAGAGTAATCAGAGGAGAGAATCCAGTAGCCCCCTCCCAACTTTTTAAAAGAAACTTTTTTATCAACAGATTTTAAATACCTTGTCCATAAGGAAAGAGAAAGATATCATTACACTCATATGTGTCAAAATAAAATTGGTTATAAAAATATTTTCTTTGCAAATAATTTTATTTTGATTATATTATCAATCAAGTTTCACTGAAAATAATAAAAAGCTACTTATGCATTATTTATATGTAATATTTTTTATGATGTGAACATTTTTTTTCCTTTCTCAGCTAAAAATTAGATTTGCAGTTGAATAAATTTATATTTTCATGAACATTTCATTCAATACTATTGTCTGCAGGCAATTACTTTGAAGCTGTATGAAAAGAATAATTTTACTCTAATGTTTTTAGCATTTTTTCTTCTCTAGGATTAAATTTGCTCCAAATTATTTTTTCTTCTTCTTCTTCTTCTTCTTTTTTTTTTTTTTTAATCTGATATTAAATTCTGCTTTGTATTTAATGTTACATGCAATTTTATTTCAGAGAAATAAATCAATTGTTCAGAGAAGGTATAATGATTTTGTGGCTTTGCATGAATTATTGCTGCAGAAATTTCCATACAGGTTAATTCCACAATTACCTCCAAAGAAAGTCATGGGTGGTAAGCAAAAGACTTCAAATTTTAATTTACTGTAGCTTAATTCAATAGCTATAATTTACATTCTAAATGTAATTTTAATAATATTTTAACATAATAAATACTTATTACAGCAATAATATTATTCAATAAGCTTATTACTCAATAAAGAAAACTAATAATAATAATAGTGATTAATAATTTTTAATAATAAAACTGTCAAAAAAAGAATTTAATTATAACGAAACATATCAGGCCTACCTGTCTAAATTGAGGAATGTCATCATAGAGGACTTCCTAATTAAAGCAGGTTCATATTCACATTACAAGTGAGGAAAACTATAAAAATACTTGTACACCCAGCCTGTTTTCACAAGGAGGAGTGTAGTTAATCTATAGTATTTCAGCTGAGTGTTCTTTAGTAATCTAATCAATTAAAATGCGAAGCAATGTTTTTCTGACATTTTAAGTGAATAGAGAATCAAAATCATTTTTAAGCAAGGAAAAGAAATAGAACAAATTGGAATAAATTTGGCCTGAATTTGAATTTTGGAAAAACTTGTGGGGTTTTACTTGCTCAGGAACTATTTACTCCATCAGACATGAATTGTTTTGCTATATCTTAAGTAACTAAAAGCCATGAAAAGGTTTTAATAACCTTTTCTATTAAACAGAAGTTAGAACATAACTGCATATTCTTTCACTAATATCAACCACACCTCATGATGGTGTAACTAAAGTAAGAATCAAATTTAATTTAAAATGTAGTATAGTAGTCAAAGACTACACAGTTAAATTTTAATCTAAGCAGACTCAGAAATTCTTACTGGCGTATTGAATTCAAATGTTGGCAGTTATAACATAAAACCTAATAATTGCAGCTTATTAGAGCTGGCAGAAACTAACATAACATGCCCTTGAAAGGGAGCAACACACTCTGTCTTGCAATTCAAAAAACTCTTTAAATACTAGCTGATTGATTTGCATTCTGGTGAGAAAACAGAAAAGGAAAGTTATTATAAAGGCTAAAATTATAAATAACTGGTTAATTTGAGTAATAATCTTATAATGTTCACTAGCAGAATTTAAGTAATCACAACAAAGATCTTTAACCATTTGAAATTCTAAACCTACACATGAGCCAACTTTTACAAACATTAGTGTAAAAGTTTAAATTGAATTTAAAGTTTTACAGAAGATTCACTTCTCTTGGGCAAAATTTGAAGTCTGTCTAAGAATGAAGAATTATGCTATACTATTTCAATCTGTCATCTCCTTCCAGGCATTATTTTAACAAACCTCCCTTTTTAAGAATATCAACCAAAACTCATGATGATTTAATTTCTTCTTCTTCAGTTGTAATACAGCCTTATTACAAGGCCATTTCAGTGACCTTCATCCAATAGATCTGATCAGTTGCTACAATCCACCAACGTCTTGAGATCTGCCTCCACACAGTCTATCCATCTTGTGCGAGGTCTTCCTCTTTTCCTGGTACCCTCTACACTCACAGAGGTTGCCTTTTTAACAGGGTTCAAGTTGTCATATCTAAAACAATATCCAAGCCTTCTAACATGATAAGATTTGATGACTTGGACAATATTAGGTTGTTTGTATTTTCTATAGATTTCATGGTTAAACAAAATTCTCCGTCTATTATTTTCTCAAACTGAGCCATATATTTTTCAGAGTATTTTTCTTTCAAAGATTAGAAGTCTTTCTTCATTAGAAAGTTCATTTAGAAAGATTAGAAGTCTGTTTGTTAATGGTTATGTACAGTCAAATTTAATTTAAAACATAGCGTAGTAGTTAAAGACTCTCAATAAATTTTAATCTAAGCTGGCTTAGATATTGTAACTGGCTTATCAGATTCAAATGTCAGCAGCGATAATGGAAAGCTGAATAAATTGCAACTTATTAGAACTGACAGGAACAAATGTTAAAGTGAATACAAAAGACAGAAACAAACTTTTCCTTACAACCCAAAAGCCTCAGTTTAAATACTAGCTAACTGATGTATATTCTGGGAGGAAATGGAAAAGTTAAAGTAAATGCTGAAATTATAAATAACAGGTTAATTTAGTTAATAAGCTTATAAGTTGATCCCAGCATTTAAAGGGAAATTTCTTTCATATTTAGGTCTATTACTTTGTCTTTTCATTATTGCTTGAATACTTTGAATGCTACTACTGTTCTGTTATCGGGACTGGGTTCAGAAATGTATGAATGTATGCATGTGTATATATACACACACACATACATTTGTACTTTCATATATACATGCATACATGAACACATCCATCCATCCATACATGCTTACATACATACTTTTTTGAATCTGGCCCTGATAACAGAACAATAACCCTTTGAATATTTGAATAATGTTCTGTGTTGGGATGTTTTACATTAGAGTACAAAAATTTTTAAAAAAATGCTTCTTAAAAGAATAACACACACACAAATATTTCTAGGCCAATTTTCATATGTATCAATCAATAAATCTGACATTGATTTAAAAAAAGAAATTAAGAATTTCAAAAATAGACTGATGTAGACAGCTTTTTTCTAGGAGCAAAGCCCCTCAAGCCTGCTAGTAAAGTTGCTTATTGCATAATTTTCTATTTTATATTTGTATGTTTCTTTTTCATATATTTATTTCATGTTTTATCTTTTTATGATGTAATTTTTTTCTTTATATTTTATTATATGAACTTTTATTTGTGCAGCATTCCATTTCTGGCCATAGATACTTTTTAATGGAAAAAGTGTTGCTTAATGTGATCACAATTGTTTACAACTGTTCTGATAGTCTTAACACAATAGTAACATTAAATAATTAGGACATTTTTTCCCAAAAATATCAAAATAATTGAACTAATTTGATAGAAATTGAAAAACAACATACAAGTATACACATTTGTAAGATTTTGGTTAGAAATAAAAGGTAAAATAATGCTATGTCATTAATAGTAGATTGCTTGCAGTTTTTACTCAACAATACATTTACAAACTGTTAATGTTTATAATACTGCTGGAAATTATCTGACCAATGTTTTAGTAATAGCTAATCCTAATAAGATGATTACCTCTCTGATCCAAGCTTCAAGAAGGAATTTCTTATAAATTTCATCATTCAGTCAAAAGTTCTTTTGCATATTGTGCCTGGATGTATTTCAGAAATTGGCTGCATTTCAGAAACTTCTGTTCATTGTATGTACAAGCTTTTAATTTCTTGCAATTCATGCTCATTGGAGATATTGCATCTTATTCCTGAAGTTCCTTTTTTTCATCATTTATTTATAAATTGTCTTAGTTAAAACAATTCTTCGTTTTCATTTTTTAGATATAATTCCTGAATATATATTCAACAAATATAGCATGTCAAAGAGGTTAGTATTCCTTTCTAACTCATTCAAATTTTTGTATACTATAAAGAATTTTGCCCACAGCAACAATATCCGTTCAACCTGTCGTGAAACTATCATTGAAAAGAATTTTTTCTTTCTTTATCCATTTTAAATTCCATTTATTGAAAATTGTGGATATCGCCTGTACTTTTGAATTATATATTTCTAAATTTATTTCCTAGTTTGTTGACTTTATTTCAACAGGAAAAATGTTTTGTCTAAAGTTTTTGTAACATCATATGACTTGCTGGTTGCAAATAGGTTCTTAATGCATTTGTATACAACTGAGCGGGACTCTAATAATTCATTAACAATATCCAAATGATAGTATTATTTATGATCACATTATGCAGCAACTATTATATTAATAAAATATATAATCACAAATTTGAATAAATAGTTGCTATATTAATGCATTTTCTATGCAGCTGATAACCAATTTATAGAAGAAAGAAGAAAATCACTGAAACGCTTCCTGAATTTGCTTGCAAGGCATCCTGTAATATCAGAAGATAAAATATTACATTTTTTTCTTACATTTTCAGGAACAGTATGTATGAATATTTAAGATTTATAATTATTTCATAAGAAAAAATTGAATTTAATTAAATAAATTTAATTTAAATACACATTTAATTAAATATTCTTTGTGCCATTGCTGCAAGGAATAAATTTAAATTTAAACAAATTAAATTTTTATTAACAAATACATATAAGTAAAAAGCAAATTTAAAGCCAAAATTAAAAAGCAAGCAAATATTTTTAAAAAATGTGCAAGCTTCTGAATTTAAATGATATGTAATTGGTTCTAGAATTAATCTTTAATGTTGCACATATTTTAAATTATTTTGGCTTCTTTTTTTTTAATTGGCTTTAAATTGCTTTTTTAGCTTTTCTACATTTGGTTAAATTTAAATTTGTTTAAAATTAAGATTTATAATTATATATTATTAATTATACTTGTTATAGGTGATATAATTCAACAGGAGCAATAAAATACACCAAAGCAAAGTTTTAAAATCCTGAGGCACTGCTATAAAATTTGAAAAAAATTTATGTAGTTTTGAATTTTTAGTATGGAATTTGATATTGCTAATGATTTTCTATATTTATAATTTTCCACATTCAAAAATGAATCTAGATAGTTGGAGTTTAAAATATCTAGAATTCTTAATTGTCTGAATTGCTTGTTTATGAGAAAGAGAGAAAGAATTATAGCATTGGTATAGATGCTGTTACAATTCTCAGTGCATAAGTTCAGTTCTCTCAGATTATATGCAGGGCTGATCCTAGCTGGGGGTACGATGGTACATAGCATGTGGGCAGCTAAATTTAAGGGCAGTGAAATGATTATCAAACATATTGTTGCGTTATTTTTTTTCCTTCACGTTCGTACGGGGTTCGTAGATTTGGAGTGAATAACGAAGACACTTGATGAAGTATCGAAACACACTTTTATTTACCAGTATTAATCATAGCGCAAAACACTTTTACATCATCCACTGTTAAAACACAATCTGACCTGTTCAGCAACACAGCCTTCGCACTGTCATGCAATAACGTGAGACAGCTTCCGCAAGAACCTGAGTACAGCTCCCAACTCTGCTTGGTCGTCTCTCAGATTCCAATACTCTTCACGCTCTGCATTCGGCTTCACAAGAGTATCGCTCTCGACTCAGTGCAGTCTAGGACAAAAATCATGAGGCACTAATTCACGATTACTAAAGACTCCTCGATCCTCGACGACCAACTCGGCGCAGACTTCGAGACACTCGCTCATAGACTATCATCTCGCTAAAGAGTCATCTGGACTCCACTGGCTACCTTCCGCTACCAGCAGGGTTTATTAGCTGTTAACTGGTGTTCATAACATTCTGGCTAAACTGATAAGAATTCGTTCCAGAAGGTTCTCCATCCGTCCACGGTATGTCGCCAAATGGTCGATTCTCACCAATGTGGCACCCTAAACTGCTTTGCGGGATCCATCTTACCACGCCTGTACATTCATACACTGCTCCCTCCCAAGGACTGCAGTCCCGGGCTTATAACCCTTGGTCAAGCCAATTCGATCAAACAAACATTTTAATACATACAATACCATAACTAAGGAGCAAATTTTAGCTTATACAGTGAGATTCAGCCTTCATCTTTCATCACAGGAGATCTGAGACGTGTTTCACCACTCTGTAGTTCATTCTCACGGTATATGTTCCCTCGATTTTTAACATATGTACATGCTTATTTCTTTTTCCTGGGAACCAGCTCCAATTCTGCTCAGAGTCAGAAGGAACATATTCTTTAACGAAGCATCCTGGTTTGATCAAGTCCTTGTCTGCAAATTCACTATGATACGCAAACATAGTTTGCAAGTGGTGATTTTGCAATATGGAGCACTCGCATAACGTACATCGCTTTTTCCACCTCCTACTGAATTTTCAAATGGTTCAATCCTTGATAACTGTGACTTCGTAACTTCACAATCAGTTTTGACAAACTCACCATCAGTTTTGACGAACTTTACAGTCACATTTTCCCTTTCTTTCACTTCCACTTCAGCACCTGAGAATCAAAAGCTTCTTTCCCATATTTTATTTCTTCACGTTTTCGTCCTTTTTCTTTAATCCCGTTAGATGTTTCATCCTTATTTCTTGATCTTTTTCAGACAATTCATTAGCTATTTCCTACTTTTCTTCAACCTTTGATTCTTCAGATGCCACTTCTCTCATTTCCACATCATCTTTAATAGCTCCAGTTTCTTCTGCAAGCTCCACTTTCACTTTGTCAGAGTTGCCCTCGCACCCTTCTCTTGGCCGACATTTATTTCTTCTCATCGTCGGCTTTTTTTATCTTTCAGTGTAGCTTTGATCTCGGCTGTCAGTCCGGCTTTGATTTTAGCTCTAATCTCTTCATATCCAGCTTTTATCTCTTCCCGTCCAGCTTTCATCCTATCATATCCGGCTTTCATCTCTTTAATCTGCGGCTTTGATCTCAGCTGCCATGGCTCCTTATAACTCCGGCTTTTATCTCAGTTAGTCCAGCTTTCATTTCAGCCTTCATCTCTTCCTGTTCCGGCTTTGATCTCAGCTAAGAAGTCCATCAAAGTCTTCATTTCCTCCGCCATAGCTTTCCTCTGCAGGCGGGTAACTGGCATTCACTCACAAATCCCACTTCTGACACATTGTTGCGTTTTTCTTTTTCTGACACCAGTTATTACGTTATTTTCTTCCTTCACGTTCATATGGGGTTCGTAGATTTGGAGTGAATAACGATAACTTGGTGAGCGACACAGCCTTCACACTGTCAGGCAATAACGGTGGAGACAGCTTCACCGCAAAGCACCCGAGTACAGCTCCCAACTCTGCTTGGCCGTTCTTGGAATTCCACGTACTCTCAAGACTCTTCACGCTATGCACTTGGCGATACACAAGAGTATAGCTCTCGACTCAATGCAGTCTAAGACAAAACTCGATGATGCACTAATTTGCAATGTACTAAAAGACTCTCTCGATGCACTCGACGACCAATTCGGCGCTAGACTTCTAGACACTAGCTCAATGACTGACTATCAGCTCGCTAGATGAGGCACACACACTCACACTCCCTAACTCTCCGCATACCAGCAGGGTTTATATAGCTTTTGACTGGTTTTCAAGAACATTCTCAGCTAAACCGGTAAAAATTCGTTCCAGAAAGTTCTCCATCCGTCCATGGCATATTGCCAATTTTGTCACCAAATGGATGATTTCTCGCCAAATGTGGCAAACATGCTTCCCTTGCCATTTTATGGCAACCCTAAAACTGCTTTGCGGAGAAGCCATCTTACCGTGCCTGTGCATTTCGTAACAATATGATATTTGTTTAAAAAAAAAAAGTGGCCAATTTTAATTTGCATGTGGATGGCCAATGGTCTAGGATCGGTACTGATTATCTTCCCAATGTTCTCACAAAGTTGCCAATCATTGCCAAATAATTTTTAACAAGTTCAAACCTGAAAAACAGCAGCTATGTTAAAAAAAAGTCAGTGCACTGAAATTTGCATAAAAGAGCAGCAAATTACGAAATTAAAAACAAATGAAACATATTAAAACCCTTCCCCCTGTTCTCCCATGTTACATATCAACTTGTTTTAAATTTTAGAAAAAATCAGAAAATTGCATACATTCATAAAAAGCTGTTATTACAATCACCTAAGAACAGTAGATATACAGCCAGCAAAGATAACTGTCTTATTTCAAAAACTGAATTTCATGCTGGCATAATACATGCACAACTATTCATGGATTGTCAAATAAATACATTTTTGTAAATTCTTCGTTGCTTACTTTTTCAACACAGCACGTTGTTTGGTGAATCTTCTCTGGGTTGGGCAGTTAATTAGAAAGTACCAATCTTTCATTTCTTCTGTATAACAAAAATATAATGCTCAATGTAGCAAAACCTAAGTAATTCTACCTGGACATCTTAATAGTATTTTGCAGCCATGAACATAAGTAAAGTATGTTTTTAATACAGTGAAACCTTGGGTTATGAACAAATTGTCAAAATGGAAAATATCATGGATAACTGTAATATCTCAAATTACAAACAAGTAAGCCACACAAATGATACTCTAAAATGTGATTAATAGGGTGGTTAATATGGTTAAAATTTAATCCAGTTTTTCATATTTTATATATTTATTATTGTGTTAAATATAGTGTATGTATTAGATTTAATGAATTCCACCAGTTTACCACTTACGAGCTTGTAATAAAGTACTTTCTAAGCTGGGAGCTGTGACTGAATTTATTCTGCATTAAATCATCTTGAAGAAAATAGTTTGAGTTTATGAATATTTTGGATGACAACCTATCTTCAGGAATGAATAAGTTCAGGAACCAAAGTTTCACTTATCCTGTAATTAGTAAATTGAAAGATTTCTACTTCTACTTTTTGTGCATATTATTATCTGCATCCAAGATAAAATACTAGGCTTATGATAAAATTTTGTAGAAGCATATTGATCACAAGTATTTTCATATATTTGCATTTTAAATTTCATTCAAATAGTAATATACTTTTTAATATTTCATATATTTTTTTCTTTAGACCATTTTGCATTCCATAAAAGGAATGCAGAAATAAATGAAGATCACAAAATTAGAAATTTAATTTTTTAATTTTATTCCACAGTAAAAATTTAATTTCATCAGTTTGTAGTAGTAGATATTATTTTTATTTGAGAAGAGGGTAAAAACATTTATATGGTTTCTCATATTTTTTAATTATTTATTTTTTAAACTTTTTAAGCATAAACTGTTCTTCACAGTATTGAACTGTAATCTTTTTTTTTTTTTTTTTTTTTTTTTTTCCCCTCCAGCTAATCCAAATAACTGGAATTTTATTCTATAAAGCTGTGTGTAGAAAGCCTGTTGTTGAAATAATATTGCAAACAGAAATGCCAGTAAAAATATAATACTTATTTATTCTTAATGTGTATATGTAATAAAAAATATTAACTTTTAAAAAGGTAAAATAAATTTAAAAAAATGGTTTTTTAAACAAACATTTAAATTGAATTGTTAAATTTTAGTTAATTTTGAAAACTAGTTTTTAAAATTCTATCAGTAAATTTTATACAGTATTACTAGTTGAAAATACTGTAGCTTAAAGTAGCACTGTCCAACTTATCTTAGCCCGTGGGCCCTATTTTTTTCACCAAACATTTCGGGAGGCCAAGAAGGTTGATAAATGAAAAGTCAGTTTATGTTTAATTAAAAAAAATATTTTATTTATACTAAAAAGAAAACTTTAAAATATTCGTAATATATTAATGAGAACATTGTGGCTGTAGTTGTTTAGCAACAATATCTTTTATGTCCGCTTTAATATTTGTTGTGGTAAGTCTAATTATATCTTCAAGAGTTCAATCTTTCAAACTGTTTCTATATTTTGACTTCATATATTTCATATCGGAGTATCGCTCACAGATATATGTACTTCCGAACACTGATACAAGTTGAAGTCCAAAATCTCTTAATTTTGAATATTTCTCTTTATCTAAAAATTTGAATATTTCTATTCCAGTTACTCCACAAGATGTAAAAAATGGGTCAGCCTGCAGGTCGCATAATTCTATTTGATATTTAAGACCAATGAAGTTGATATGAATATTAATTGGATCACAAAATAAATAAACGATTTAAGATCATCAAATTGAGAAAATATTTCATTGAAATCTGTAATTAGCATATTCAATTTTGGTAGAGATATTTTAAAATTCGCTTCTATATTACATTCCTTCATAGATCTCTTTGCAAGATTCAAAATGAAATAAATTATTTTGCTCCAAATTAAACCTGAACAATTTTAATCTGTTTCTAAATCCAGTAACATATTTATAAAAGCAACACACATTTTGATCTTGTCCTTGCAAGGATTTATTCAAAATATTTAAATAATTTGTAATGTCCATTAGGAAAGCAAGTGAATAAATAAAATTTTTATCAACTAAATTTGCTGTTAAATTTTCATTGACAGCAATTTCTGTGAGAAAAAGATGAACTTCTTTTCGAAGTGTAAAGAATCTCCTCAAGCACTTTCCAGCACTTATCAATGAACGTTACTATGTAAAAGCAGATCTTCGTACTCAGTTTCCAATTCATCCAAAAATGTTTTAAATTTTCGGTGTGTAAGAGAATGATTTCTGCTGTAAATTAAATTAGTAATTTTGCAAACCTTGTCCATTATGTCTTAGTTGTAGGGATAAACCACATAATGCCTCCTAATGGATAATACAGTGTAACATAGGACATGTTATTCCTTCTTTTTGCAAAATTCCCTGCGAGCCCAATATTTTTGCCCATCATAGCACTAGCACCGTCGGTTACAATAGCAGTGCACTTGTCAAATCCGCCATACTTCTCTACTGAACATTTTAATTGTTTGTAAATATCTTCACCTTTTCTTGTTCCATGTAATGATTGTAATTTTAAAAGTTCTTCTGAATAATTATAGTTTTCATTTACCGTTCTTATAAAGATAAGCATTTGACTTGTATCAGAAATGTCTGTTCTTTTAACCAATGCTACCGAAAATAGCAGCAACTATTGATTAGGTTTTCTAATTTATTAGTGGCATGCATGCTAATCTCGTTTATATGTCGGCTTACAATCTGTTGAGATACTGTTTGAAATTTTCTTACCATTTCGTTGTCATTAAATGCTTGAGCCATTTTTATGGCACATTTTTTTAATGAATTCTCCATCCAAAAATGGCTCCTTTGCCTGTACTATTTCTAAACAAACTTCAAACGATGCAGCTACAGATGCTTCTGGAAATTTTGGTTCTTGATTAAAATAAATCGTTTGATGATCCAACTGCTTTTTCATTTTTTCACTAGTGGTATTTTCATGTCTTGCGTGTACAAATGATACTTTTTTCATGCATGGAAAGATAATGGCACTTCAAGTTATATTCTTTACACACAGCTATGATTTGTAAACATTCCAAACACTGTGGTTTACCATTCTTGTTCAGAATAAATAAATAAGCTATCTCCCAGCAATCTTGAAATTCTCAATTTTTGAGGTCTATTTTTCTTTTATTAGTTGCACTCGTATTCAATAATTATTTTAATTAATAAATAAATATGAAATTAAGTTAATATTATAACACAGTCACCCCTCATTAAGTTCTAGACAAGACTGCACTCGCACGATTGCATGAATCAACCAAATAGCGCAGGGTAGTGTGCGCATCATGTGCGCCAACCATAGATAAACAACAACCAACCACAAATATAATATGTGGCGCCAACGTTGAGCCAACCATCATCAGACGTTAAACGGATTGCTGATGTATTCAGCCAGGTTAAGTGAAGTTACACAAACTAAATAGTACCTACTTTAAATACAAATTAGATTTAAATTTTCACATAGTAAAATAATTTTAATATTAATAATAATAAGTAACATAAATTTATTCATAGTAAAATGTACTCGCAGGCCGTAAAAATAATTTGGCGCCAGTTGGACAGCCCTGGCTTAAAGTAATAACTGTGTGAATAGAATAATAAATTAATGATTAAACAGTTTTTGTAATAATTTTAATCTCGTAGTCTATAACCATATTTGATATTTATAATCCTTCATGTCCTCACTTAAAATTGGCCTTTTAAAATTATAAAACAAAATTATTTTTTAATGTTTAATTCATTTTGCATTTGTCCATAACATTTAAAATCAGTTTCATACTATATTTGTTCTGGAAATTTTTCGAAACGCGAGATTTTAAATTTGCATTAGTCAAAAACTGTTTAGTATATCAGACTGATTCAAATTATAAAAGTGTTAAGAAATAAGTTTTCATCATACCTTAACAGGTCTCTGTAGTTGCTCCATGAAGACCTCAGTGTTGTAAGCAGTCTAATTTTAAATTTACCAGTAACAGGAATTGATGTAATCTCTATTGCACTGTTTTGCTTTAGATGCTGGTGTTTGCAAATATTTTTGTCTCCAGTGTTCTTTGATTATTACCGTAAAATAAGTCCATTGGGTTGACAGTTTATTCTGAAATTGTTCTACAGTGATAAATAAGACAAAGGCTTCCCAGGAAAACAGGACTGTATTGCCTGCCCTTATCAATCCTGGCAATTTCTGTTTTGTATATTTATCCTACATCTACCAGAACTGTTATTTCTTTGTCACTTTTTAACATTTGAATCCTTCTGATGTGTTTATTTCAGCATAATATATTTTTATAATCTTAACTTTCTTTCTTTTGATCATCCTATCTATTAGAATTTATTAATAATGTATTAGCTTATAGTACAAATTGTACAAATTTTTTATAACTGTTCCGCTTAGATTTCATTTACTGTAAAACTTCATTAATTGTATGCTTTTTGTGAACTACTTCTTTGAGAAGGAGGTGGAGTTTTTAAAATTCTGAAATAAGTTGTTTAAATTTATATTAGGATGTACAACATAAAATGAAGGATCACTTTCGGGGTGTGTTGGATGAATTCAACTCAAATGAACAAGCAAAAGAAGCTGAGGTATGTGTTCCTTTTTTTAGCACTAAAGTACTTTTTCGTATTTACATATTCATATAAGCTCATTTTATATTGTGCTTATATAACTCTGTGTTGTTCTTTTTGTAATAATAATCTAAAGATACATTCAAGTAAAAAATTAAAATGTGATCAATGTTAGAACATATATGATATTTGCAGACACGTACATATATTATTAGAAAATTTGTTCATATATCATCTCAAATAAACATCAATTTAACTAAAGTGATGAATTATGGGAATAAATTTTAGTTAGTATTTAAAGTGATTTAGAATTCTTATATACAAATTCTTATATATATATTAGTACAAAGTCTGTAATCCAGACGTCCATTATTCGGAATGATCTAGAATCTGGACCTCAAAGCCATAAACTTTCTTTTTTTGTATGCATTACACATGCGTTTAATGCTATGCTTGCGCATTTAATGTTTATGCATGCGCGTTTAATGTTTATGCATGCGCGTTTAGCACAAAAAATGAAGCAACTTACATTGAAAGAAATGTTTAATAAAGTAAACAAATAAATATTAAGCTTTTTTTTTTTTTTTTTTTGTAAATTTTGATACCCTTTAGATCATAATTGCTCTTTATTTCATAAATTACGGTTTCATATTTTTAATTGTGTAAATTCTGCATGCCATCTTACCAAATTTAAAGTGATGATCTATGATTTGGAAAAACCCTTAATCCGGAATCGCCAAAGTTCCAACGAGCCCGGATTACAGACTTTGTACTGTACACATTTCAAAATTCAAGATCCAGAAATTTTCAGACTTTAGTGATTCTGGATTTCAGAAATTTGCACATTTTAGGTCATTAGTTTAAATATCATAAGATGACATGTAAAAATTATAAAATTGTTTGTGAAATAATGAAACTGTATGACTGCAAAAGAATTAAACTGTATAAAAAAGCTAAATATTTATTTGTTCTTTTATTAAGCTTTTCTTCCTTCTTAAGTAAGTTATTTAAGCTGTTTCTTTTTTCTTTCTCTTTTTGTTTTTTGTGCTAATATTTTTTTAATAGATAGACGATTTCTTGTTCAGTTATAAAAGTTCCATTGTTCAAATTCTGTAACTCCCACATTAAGAATTTTCATGAAACTCTCAGTCAAAATCTTCTCATTCTAAATAACTTCATTTTCCTCACTATCAGTAGTGATATTTTTTGTGTTTAAAACTGTGTGACAGTTTTTGCTGACTATTATTTGACTGATGATAAGAGCACTGTCATCACAATGAAACATTTCTGTCATATCTTATTTTATTATCATGTCTCTATATTTTATCATAAATTCCATTAGTTGGAAATTTTCACATTTTGCACATGATTTTTGAAAACCTTCAAATTTGCAACTATTATCATCACTATAAAATATGGTGGCTCATCCAGCATTTTTTAAAAATATCTGCAGGCATGCTCCTGCAATGCTTCACACAGTAAATTTTATATTCAAATATTTAAAAAAAATCTTAGATGATCTTACTATCGTTCAGAAAATTTAGCATAGCTTTTAAAAAGGCTGCTTCTGGCATCAGCAACTCTTTTTTTGGTTGCAGATCAAAATCGGCCAAACTGTGTTTATTAAGAAGACATTTTGGGTCAGTGGTATTTTCATTTTATAACAATCTTTTTTTTAATGAATAATAAGATAAGTTTTATGCTAACTATAACAAGCTTTAAATTTTAAACATAAAAATTATAATTATTATAAAAGCAAACATAACTGAATGAACTTTATTTTTCTCTTTGATATCAGTAGCTCCTCTGATGCTGATTTTGTGATGTCAATTTAGTGAAATCTGAGTAATAGTTAATGATCTTAACATGAATACAAGTTTTTACAGCATCTGAATACAAGCATCTGAATTTTTTACAGTCAAGCTACTTCTGTTCTTACTTTTAAAAAAAATTAATGTGTGAAAATATTTTCTTGCATTTATAAGTTGAATTATAAAGGTAAAGCCAATTTTTTGTTACTGAATTTATTCTTGCACTGTTGAACAAGTTTTGCAATTGAGAATGAACTAAGATAATGACATTCATGTTGGCAGATGTCTGTCAGAGAATTATGGAATGCCTCTCCTTGAAATTATGTTACAAATAAAAATGCATGTTTGTTACTGCAGCTTTATAATCAAACAAAACTGTTATTATTTATTTTCAGTTTATTTTTTATATATAATTCAAGTGTTCATTTTATTTCTTGTTTTATATTTTTATATATTTGCTTTATTTTTGGAACTGAAGCGAGTCATTTGAAATTATGAGATCGGTCACTCAGTAGCCTGTGGGTCCTAGGTTGATGAGGCCTGTGCTATTATATATCTGCAATTCCATATGCAGAGCATTCCGGTATGCTTTGGCTGAATGATGGATGTACAACCAGGAAGAAAGTATTAGGTAGAGACATTATCTTTAGTGAAACTTTTAAATGAAGTATGAACCAATTTCAGAATTGTCTATAATCAGGACAGTTTTGCATCATCTGGTAAACCAACTGGTTTCAAATGGTGCTGAGCCTCAGGTATTAAATGATATTCAGTTCACTTGTTCATTAATCCTTATGTCATTCTTGCTCTTTTAATTCAATGGTAAATGCTGTGGAAAATCTTTATTCCTTTCAATGCCCAAGGTAATATATTTTTCCAATCACCAAAAGTGTATGTTATCACAATCTTGCAGCATTTGCACATGCTAGAATTGTTAGTGTCACTTTGGAATTTTTCAGACTAGATTGGGCTTTCTTGATGAGGTCGTTAATGTATTTAGGGTATACATATTGCAAGAAAAGACCAGTTTTACCAACTATATAAGTTTGTCCTGTAGATAAATTTTCGATATTATTATGTTTGTTGAATTGATTTTTAACTGTTTTATAGCACAATGATTTTTGAATTTGGTTAACCAACCTGTTGAATACCTCCACTCAATTTTTAAGTCTATTTTTTTATGAAATACTTTATCTTGAGCCACTGCATTGCACCCATCAATGGCACACTCATATTGTATTGTGATGCTTTCTCAATCGTTTAATCATCAATTTGTCCTAATCATCATTTAATAATACATAATTTAATAGCACATAATTTGAAATGAATATGCCTTTATTAACTTTTTGCAGCAGTTCTGTTTTTGCCTGATTGGCATGGAAATATGCTTTCACACTTCAGATCTTGCTGCAGCTCCAGAATGAAATTCTTTTCAATGTAATCAAAACTTTAATTTTGATAAGATAATTGCAATAATAATAGCCTGTAAAAAACAAAGCTGTTTGAAATTAGGAAGTTAAGGAAGAGCGTAATTTGCTATGTTAACTGAACAACTGAACTTAAGTGCTTCAGAGTCGAACTCTGTTATTATTGTAACTGTCCCTTTCCCCATTATTATATCACTAAAAGAAAACCAATTTGAGCAGTATTTCACTCCAAACAGACAGATTTTGGGACTTCACTTATTGTGCAAGTGTAATGGAAAAATGATAATCTCCACAAATACTGAAAGACCGAATGTGTGGTGATAAATAAATATATGTTCCTTGATTGGTTAAAGACTGCAGTACATGGCTGACCCACTGAAGCACTTCATTTCTGGCAGGAGTCATGGACTTGCAAAGCTTAGAGGTCATTAAGCTTCCATTTGCACTGTACACCCTTTGTTCCCAACCACAAGAGGGAGGATTAAAAATACTTCCTTTATCACACCATGAAGGTGTAGAACTTGTGAAGATGGAGAAAGATTGATTGTCAAATTGGCTGTCTATTAGACAGGGTTTTCAATACCGACTCCTCTGTGGGCCCCCATTTATCAAAGTTGTAGTCTTTATCCCACTCCCATAGGTTATAGGAAGCCCAGGCTCAGGTATTTTATACCTTAGAGTCAAGACTACCAGATTACGAATCTTAACCAACACTATAAATAACTGTAGAAGGTAAAGTGTGGTCAATGTCAATACAGTATCAGTCAATGTATTGTCATTGGCCACTGGTGTGATTCCCTAAACAATAGGTATTTTAAAGTGATGTGGAGGGAATCTGCGTTAGTCTGGATAAAAACAAATTTACGGCACATCTATTTTTCATTGAGTATTTATTATATTCTCCATTTCTATATTTTGTACAGAGAAAAAATCTTTAAAAAGGAAATGAAAAGAAAAAAGTTTAAAAAAAAAAAATCTGAAGGCTTTCAGATTTTGTATTATGTTGAAAGAGGCTTCTTTTTAACGTTTTGTGTGTTACCTTTATTTATTAAATATCATGTTCTTTGCACTTAAGCCATAAAATTCAATAATTCAACTGAAGTATCGCAGAGTAATTTAAAAAGAGCATATCTTTAGAATTTCTGATACACAGTCTTGCGCACTGGAGATAAATTTTTTTTTTTTTTTTTTTTTTTTTTTTTTTTTTTTTTTGTTCTTCCCATACAGTGTTACCATTGCTCACTTTGAAATCGCTGATTTTCTTAATCAGAAACTCGTAAGTGCTTTACAAAATATGAAATAAATAATAAAACAACTTCCAAATTTGGGCTTCCAGATGCCCATATTCGGGTGAAGATGTACATTATTCAAAATTTCATGGCGCTAGGTACCATTCATTATTTTATCACAATACAGGAAATATACATACATTTATGCAGATTCTTCATTATTTAATTTCTTTAAATATCATACAGGGCGATAATATTTGGTGGCAACAATTTGAAAAGTGATTTAGACTTTAAAAGTTTTCCACGCAAAATGTCAAAACGAAATTAATAGCCCTTCTGGCTAAAAATTACTAGTGGTCCAGAGGTCTGGATATTGGATGTTCGAATTTAGGCTTTGTACTGTATATATGCATTGGTAATTTTCACACACACACACACTCATTCAGTGCAAATTAGAAATTATTTATTTTTAAAGAATTTTTACTTATTTTAAAGTATTCAAAATTCTTGATACCATGCTATTATCCCAGCTTCTTTAAACTATGTACAATCAGCTTTAAAAATTATAAACTCTAAAATTGTATCATCATAGTTGCTGTCATATGCTTGTAGTTTAGAATTTTTGGTTTTTAATAACACGTTAATAAAATAATTTTTAGTATCCATAATAAATAAAATTAACAATACCTGTTCTTTTTATTAAATAAATTGAATAAACACAGAATGACGTAATGTGCCTATCAAATAAATATTAAGGTAAATTTAAACTCTGTGATCTATATTTATGTTATAAAAATAATAATGTGCCATTTATTTATTTATTTTTTTCTAAAATCAATAGAATTGTGTATGAAGTCTATGTCAAAGGTTTTTTCTATCCCCCTGCTTGCCTAATTTTACATGGTGTTAATTATTTTATCATCTTTGGATAATGGAAAAATAATATAAATTCATGTTATTTTTAAATTTCAAGTGTTTTAAGTGTTTTCCATTTAATGACTATCGTAACATGTTCATTATTGAAAGTATGCAAAGAAAGTTCATAAAATAAATTTTATAATTTCTTTAATCAATCTTTATGGCCAAATCTATATTTTCCAATATTCATAACAAAATTTTTTAAAGGAACTGGTGCCTATTGATTCCACTAATCAACTTTCCATTGTTCGAGAACAAATGAAGCAAGTATTTAGTGGATTTCTTCAGCTAAAAGAAGTTACTGAAAGAATGGTAGAGAGGACTAAGCAAGAATCTTCTGATATGTTGCTGTTTGGAAAGGAGTTATGGTATGTGTTGAGTTGAACGAATGTATATTGATAAATCAAAATAAAATGTAAACTGTGCCCATAAACTATATCCTAAAATGATGAGGATACTAAAGTTGTATAACCAAAAAAGAAATAAGCATTTTACTTTTATTTTTTTATTTATATTTTGTAAATGATTATCAGCTGTTATGGTAAAAGAAATAAAAAATTTATTGTAAAGTATTCATTAGATTTTCATATATGATAATAAAATAGTTTTTGAAATTACATTTTTAGAAATTAATCTTTTTAAAATTCACTTTTTGTTCAGTTCTATTCATATTATCATTTTAAGCTTTAAAATTTGAGGATTGTATGAGTGTTGTTTGCTGTGTTATTTTTTAGGGAAAGGAATATGAAAATAGTAAATATCTGTTTTATTCTTCAGTTCTTTAGCCAATAGTGCAAGTACTGAATCTGATTGGGGATCAGGTGGAAACGAAACATGGGATCATTTAAAAAAAGGGATGAAAAATTTGCATCCAATGTTATCTACTGTATCATCTGCATATCTTGAATTGGTGAGTTATTTTTAGTATTTTATCAAAATTAAAACTGAAATATAAAATGCAAAAAATAAAATAATGCCTCAATTTAATGAAAACAGATAACTTTGGATATTAAATTGCTACTCTTATTAGAAAGGCCCAATGATATACATTTAATTGAACTGTTAAAAATATTAATTCAGAAGTCAAACAACAATTGTTGTTGTGTCTTAATTGTTAAAAATATATTATTTTTTGTTTAAGGCTTCTCAAGAAGAAGAAAATGTAGTAGAGGAGTTAAATTTATTTTTAGATCTCCTTACAGCTTATAAGGTAAGCTTAATCATTCATTTATAATGGCAATGTATTTAGATTTTCGGTACTTACGTATTAACGCAACCAGGCCAAAATTCGCATAAATCACCAAATTTGGCAACCCTACTTATGGCAACCCTACGTGTTATACATAGTTTTTCATAAAGAAATTATTTTTCTTACTGGTTAGATTGAATGCCCTGAAATACTTTAACTATGGGTATTTGGGATCTGCCTGCGAGTGAAAAAGATGCTGTTGAATTGTTGCAGGGATATGGAATTATACCGAATGAACATACTTGTAAAAATTCATAAAATGAAACTGTATTTTGGAAAGCAAATCTTGGAAATGTAACGTCGAAGAGTGCAATCAACATTTGGGTGTGAGAACCGGAAATTGGTTTGAAGATAGCCGAATTTCATTTGTGACAGCGGTGTGCTTCATTTATTGTTGGTGTAAAGAGCTAACCTCAATTAAATTTTGTGCAGAAGAGATGGGAATTGCTGACAAAACTGTTATAGATTGGAATAATTACATGCGGGAGATATGTGCCCTTGAAATGGATGAAAAAGAAAGAAAGCAAATAGGTATTGTGAAAATAGATGAAAGTTTATTTGTAAAAAGAAAAAATAACACTGGGCGTGTACTACCACAGCAATGGGTTTTCGGCGGAATTTGCTGAGAAAAGAAAGAGACTTTTTTGGTTACTGTACCTAACAGAAGCGCCGTTACCCTCATGAAAAAAATTTGCAAAAATATCAAGGAAGGAAGCATCATTTATTCGGATTGCTGGAAAGGATACAATACAAGTGAATTCGAAAATGCTGGATTTCTGCATGGAACTGTTAATCACAAATATAACTTTGTGGATACCAACACGGGCGTTCACACACAACATGTAGAGCGCACGTGGGACTCAGCCAAATCGCACAACAAAAAACAGAGAGGAACAGCCCGTCATCATCTTGACTCATACCTTATCGAATTTATATGGCGCCAAGCTCAAGCTGTTAATGGCGAAGACGGTTTTCAATCAGTGCTAAAAGCAATAGCCAAAAGATTTCCGCCGAAAAAATAATTCTGCAACTTATTCAAATTCGAAACTGGAAGGGTTTAATTGCTATTTTATATTTTAAAACAAAATAATATAAAAAACTGTATTCAAATTATCTGTAATTAATAAATGTACATTTTCTTTCTATTCATACTTTTTTACTCAAACTTACAAATCGCGCCAACCTGGTTGCGATAATACGTAAGTACCAGATTTTCTAAAGATTCTTCTCCACTTACAATACAAAATAAATTAAATATCTTTAATGAATAAGTAAAAAATTTAAATATTGTTTAGTTATTTTTTGAAATCTTCCAGTAAATATATTTTCTGGAACCTAGGTTTAACTGTTTAGGATGGTTCTGGTAATGCTGCCATTTCCCCAATGGTTATAAATTGGAGACTATTAATAATTTGAGAATTAAATTAATTCACTGTTGAGCTTATTATTCAAGGATTTTAGCTTTTGCTTTGTAAGTAGTTTTGTAATTTGTGATATTTATGTTGTTTAAGAACTTAAACATTATCTCTGTATTCTTCTTGAGCTATTTTTCTTCACCTGAAAAAAAACGTCCACCCCCCGGCCTGAAGCTGAAATAAAAGATTCAGATTGTTCCTTTTCATCTGCCCTGGGTACTAAAGAATTCCGTATGGTATCAAGTTTTGATGAAAGCTGTTTTCTCTTGGTTTTGGCAGTTAATTTGAAATTTTGTCTTTTTTATCATCAGATTTTATGAGCATTCTATATGCTCATAAAAATTTTCTTTTTAAAATGTGCTCCATTTTTTAAGAGAGAGAATGGAAGAACTTGTGTTAAACTGAAATTCAAAAATAGATAAAAATAAATTAAAAAAAGTTATACAAATACATATATTAACATTACCATTAGTTGTCTTCAATACTGTTTTTTATACAATTCATTCTGGCATAATATTTACAATTGATATTCTGTGGTCTAAGTGTGAATATCTGGTACTTTTCCATTTTGCCGTCGCAGGTGATAAAGTTGCCAAAAATGGTACAACCGAGACCATAAGGAATATCCTCGCTGGTAACCTTTTATGCCTCATTTCTTATCATATTCATTGTTTCTTTCAATGCTGGCATACAATTAAATAGAATTTTTACCAGATAGTTCAATTTTATGCCTTAAGGCCATTGGCAGTAATTAAGTCAATTAGGATGCAATCACACTGCTCACCGAAAGGCGAAAATATAGAAAAGGGAAACTAAAAGGTTAAATTCATCAATTCTAATGAGAATGCACTAGCGAAGTAAAGTACTTCAGTTTTACATAATTTCTGAGTAATCTATTTGTACGAATTAAAATTTTCTGTGCATTTAAACTTCTATTCCATATTAAGATTTAACTTGAAATTAATGTAGATAATTACTGAAAGAATTAGATTTTTTGTATCGGAGTTTATGTGAGATGAGATCACTTGGGGTCACATTATATGAACTGGCAAATCAGGTTGTTGTACCATGAAAGCATAGTAAATTAGTAAATTCTTAAATTAATGTCTTTTTAAAAATTTATTGCCTTTATTGTCTTTTTATAAAATTTTAAATGATATTAAAATGTTTAAATCAAAATAAAAAATTCTCAGAGCTAACATTTTTTATGTGTATACTGTGCATTATCAACAATAAAGTCCACTTGGTCAGATTTGTGCCGGCGAAACGGAAAAGTACCAAATATCTTTATGCACCATTACTCTAAAAAATTTTGAATTTATGTTTGTTGACATGCTTGAACAGAGAGGAACATTTTCACAAAAGTTACAATGAATGCTTTTAAAGACTTCACTTCAAAACTACATGAAGTTCTCAATTATGAAAATGAGATGAGGTTACCAAGGTAACTCTAAGCATATATCATTAGTGCCAGCAGTATCTAATGATCAGAAATAGATCCTAGTGGGAAAGACAATGGAAGTAGTATTATCATTAGTGCCAGCAGTATCTAATGATCAGAAATAGACCCCAGTGGGAAAGACAATGGAAGTAGCATTAACCGTTTGTAACTGCATTGCCTTTTTGGAAGGAAGAGTGATGTCCATATCCAGAAAGAATAAAAACTTCTTATATTTTAACTTTTATGAACACAGTTAGAAGTTTAATTATTCAGAAAATGCTGTCTTTAATTTTTATGTCCATTCCATTTTCCGATTTCCACTGAAAATTTTACTATACTTGCCATTCCATACAGATCCTATTTTGCCCACTACACTCATTTGCGATCTAACCCAGTAAGTATACTGAGATGAAGACAAATTTTTTGTCAGATGTACTATATATTGTAGTCTGAAGTTTTTTTTTTTTTTTTTTTTTTTTTTTTTTTTTATGTATCCATGGGAGGATAATATATAGGGCTTATCTAGAACTTTGAAATTTCAATAAATATACTTGAAATGTATGTGCAAAAAGATACCAATCTGAGAAATTCAGAAACTAGTCATTCTTGTGCAAGGAAATTTAAGTAAATCGAGTATTTAAAGCAGACATTCAATAACTAGGAAGGGGGGTATATGGGAAGGAGAAATATATGAGTTAATATTTTATAATATGATGATTGATTTTAACTTATGTTTACTTAAATATAAATGCATATATATATTGTACACTGTGCATTGTATGTCCACTGCGAAAAAAAGGGGGCAGGCAATTCTATATCTCTCATTCTACTGGGCCAATTGACGAAATTAAAATTGCGTTTTTTGTCTCGAAAGTGTGGCTTAGGATATATATTAGATTTATATATAGCAGTTATTATAACATAGGTATTTTGACACAAAATCGGACTTTTTCTGAAATGACGTCAATTTTTTTCTGTGTTTCTATTCGACGAAAATTATACTTTAATATTAAATTTTGTAAAATTTGTTGCGAAATTTATGGAGAAATTCAAAAATTTATCTTGGTAATTTTTTTCTGTTTGCGCCAAGAATAATTTACTTGGCGAACTTCTTAATTTATAGCAACCTAATTTTCCTTTCCTTTTTGCATTGCAGATGAAACAGGAAAAAAGCCATCTTTCATACTTTCAAATAATTTTAACAAAGTGCGTAAACCACATTTGGTGTTATTATCGCTTAAAAAAAATGCCAAATTTTAAAACGTGCCAATATGTAATTTCATTTATATTGTAGATAATTTTCAATAAAAAACTCTATTTTTTTGCTAGAAATACTTATACTTTAAGAGGATGTTAAACATTTTATAGGTTATAATTCAAAAATTTTTCCGAAAAATTTATAAAAAATATTTTAAAATACAAATTTTAAAAATAAATCATGAAAAATGTACGAAATATATTTGGATTAAGCCCAAGTTTCAAACTCTGGAAGAAGGAATCAAGTTTAATAAAGAAAGAGGTATAAATAAATATATATCCAATTCAATTAACTAAAAGGAGCTAAAACTTTGAGAGCTAATTTTTTAAAAAGCTTGGCAGTTTAGTATAATTTGAGTCGTAGAATCAAAATATGGAAAAAAAATTGGCATGTCATTTCAGAAAAAGTCTGATTTTGTGTCAAAATATCTATAATGCTATATGTAAATGTAATATGTATCCTATGTTGCGCTTTCGAGACATGAAAAACGGAAGTTGAATTTCGTCAATCGGCCCAGTAGAACAGGAAATATAGAACTGTCCTCTTTTTTTTTGCACAGTGTACATTTTAAATTTGATTTGTTGCATTTTGCGTGCATAATTTTTTGTCTGAAATATATTATTCTAAAATACATTTAGTCTTAAATATATTAAAAGGTTTTTCAAGTTCACTTTTAAACATATTTATGTGCAGTTTTTTTCTCATATTAAATAAATGTTCTGTTTAACTCTTCACATTCGGTACAATGCAGCGATATGAACATAACTATAAAGCCTTATATTATTTCAAATTATGTATAATTGTTATATTCTTTTATAATTATATGTACAACACAGTTTTTATATTTACAGGACTTGTGTGATCGTTATGAACATTTTTATAACATGATAAGACAGAAAAGTTCCGCTAAAATTACGTCTCGTCGAACAGCCACAAATGCCATTGTCATGGTAAGTAAATATTTTACTGCTTTTAACATCAAACAATATTACACAAAGTATCTGGATGAAAAGTTGTTCAAAATATTAAAATTAAATTTCAAAAATGTTTATTGCAGAAAATTCCATTTTAGATCATTATAAAGAGAAACTAGCAATTTTTTCCCTCATTATCTTAGAAATATTAAAGGAAAAATTTAGAAATATTAAATTAACACACATGTAGACCTAATCTTGAAGTATCAACTTTCTTACTGAACTCATTTTACTATCATGAATTAACTATGCACATCAAAAAAACTTAAAAATATTCTTTCTATAATGTTAAAACTAGAAATGTAAAAATACTTTCTAAGATTTCATTTCATTGTTGAAATACCTTTCATCTGGACATATCATCATATATTTTATTTCAGTATAATTTTATAAATATATTTATAGGATGCTGAAAATCAAGCTGTTCAACAGAATGAAAAAAGGAATAATTTTTTCCTACATTGCATTCATATGGAAACTCAGCTTGTGCATACATATATGCAGATCTTGGTGAAAGTGTTACAAGCTCTTGTAAATTTACAGACAAAGGAATTATCAAATGTAAGTATGTATTTTGAGTAAGTGTTGACATTTTCAATTTGATCAAATAAAAGTAGTTGAAACAAAATAATAGCATTTAGAGCACAACAGTTAGTTCACAAATTAAGCTATTTAATCAGTGAAATATATTATATTTATGAAAAGTGAGAAAGCGAAATCATTAATGTATTCGAATATGGCCATTCATTAATGTATTGAAACAATTTGAAATGAATTTGGAATTCATTAATGTATTGGAATATGGCCATTCATTAATGTGCTGAAACATTTTGAAATTAATATGGAATTCATTAATGTATTGGAATATGGCCATTCATTAATGTATTGAAACATTTTGAAATGAATATGGAATTCATTAATGTATTGAAACATGTACATTTTAATATTTAGATTAATTTTAATTATTAATAAGATTTCTATATTCTTAATGATGTCAGTTCTGTTACTTATAAGAATTTTTTGTTGTTCTTTGATTTGACTTCTTCTTTGATTATTCTTTATCAATATGCTTTTGGTATATAGATATCTTCACTGTGGCAACATATGCAGCCTTTGGTAGACACACTGATTCCTGCTGCTGTATCAACAACTCCAACATCGACAATAAGTAGATAAAACATTTAATATCTGCTTATATGTGTCATATCTTGTGAAACTTGCAGTATCCCAACATTCATCAAAACAAAAAAACTGAAGAAAAAATTATATTTTTGAAAATCTTGTTGTATACATTTTTATTTTTATCATGCAAAATATTTATTTAAATCTGTATATTCTGATATGGGTCTGTTTTCTTCATAAAGCAAAAATATTCTCAAACTTTTGCAACTTGAAGAAGAATAAATTGTTTGTTTCTCTTTAAATGCATGGTAATTTTCTTGCCAATTGAAAGATGAATTTTATCTGCAGTTAAGTACAGTATACTTACTTCATACATTCAAATATATATATATATATCAGTTGTTTTTATAGATATATTCTAAAGAGTGATTTAAAATATGTATGTATAAAATTTTGATCTTCATTTGTTAAGAATACTCATTTTTTTTATTTTATATATTTTATTAAAAAAATTGCTGAAATTCAAGAAGAAAATGATTGTGCCTTTAAAATTTAACTACAAGTCTCAAAAGTTGCATTAAAATGCATTATATTTCAAAAATAAATGAGGAATGAGAAATTCATCAGTCAAATTTGATGATGATATGCCCAGTGCAATTATTGTATTTATTGTAGGATTATTTTTAGAATGCAATAATGTAGCTTGATCAGATATTATGGATTTCTACAAATGATTTTGAAATAAAAATTAGCTTTTAGAAAATATTGATGGGATGATAATAATTAAGTATGCGATACTTGATATGGTTGTATAGGTTATTATTGATAAAGTTATCAGTTTTGCTGAATCAAATGGCATTTTTATTTGCGAGATATATCAGCTTTCCAAATGAACAAGATATGAATCATCTTGAATCAAAATGTATGTTTAGTACAGGACTGAAGTCAGGGAATCTTGTTTACTATTTCAACTAGATAAATTATCTTTTTTAAAATAGTTATTCAATAAATATTTTGTATAAGTAAATATAATTTTTGTTAGTATAAAACATGAGCAACAAATAGCTCTAGTAAAAAGTGGATTTAAGGAGTTGGGATTTTATCCTATAATATCTTAGCAATAAGAAAAGAGAGGATAATTTCAGAGGCAGTTATAATGTTACTCCCAATATAACTTACTCCCCCCATATGTATAATTTCATTCTTTGTTTCCTTATGAAAACAAAGAATCAGTAGTTGCAGTGCAATAATATACTAGTGTACTATTTGCTTAAGTTATTCTTTTTGTGATATCTTTTCTTTCTCCTTAAGATTAGTGTTCAGCAATAATCTCTTTCTAAAATTGATTTATTTCTGAATAGCATCTAAATCAGTGATATGGGGAACATGTTTATTCCTGACCAAATCAAATAGGGTTTGCCGTCAAAGGACAAAATATTGGATTTTGCTGTTTATTTGATTCTTTCTTGAGGTTTTCAGTAAAGTGCTATAATGTAGGTTTTCTATTTGCCATTTTATGATACCGCATTAGACACCGATGATTATGTTTAGAGATCAGTATCTTCAAAGTGAGGGAATATTTACAAACAATCAATAAGTTTAAATTAATATTTTCATACACTGAATTAGTCTACTTAAAATATTTAAGTAGACTGATTAAACAAACAGTTTTCATTAGTTACGTTTTATCTGTCAATTGGTGTTCAAGAATAATTCATTTGCATCAAAAGAAAATGGCAATTTAAGGACTAAATTTCAAGAAAAGTTTTTATATATGTTAAAAAACTATATTTCCAGATTCAGATCAGTGAAGTTATGGATGTCTGAAGTGTATAGTATTTTTAGTAAGGGGACACTTAAAAATTTGTCAAGTCACATGCCTCTTGTGAATTAGATGGCATGTGAAGAAGGATATGAGATTTTTAGTTCCCCCTGGTGGTTTGTCATCAAAACTGGGATGGTGATAAGCATATAAAATTGTTTTCTCACCACTTATGCTCAAAAGTTGATGTTTTCGATCCTATCCTGTAATTATTCTGTTATATGAGCTCTTTCCAGATGTGGTATGTTAGAACCCACAGAAATCACAGCAGCAAGAAGTAACATATCTGCTAAAGGTGCCTTTGTTTAGCTATAACATTCATTAAAGCCAAGTAATGAAAATCAGAGTTCATTGTTTGATCAAAGTATCAAAATGTCTATTAAAAATACTGAAAACTATTTTTGTATATATCTGGAGAGGAATAAATAGAAAGAGATATAAAACTGAAATTATTAAAGCAAATTTCTTTAATGATTATATACAAAAATAAATACAAGTAATTAATGCTCGTTAGTTTTATTAATGTATAATTCTGCAAACTACCGGCTTAGATATTAATGTCACTTGTTATAAATACAGCACCATAACAACCAAACTTTTACAGTAGTGACAGCCTAGAATCACATCAATCAGTAATGATGGTTAGTTAAAAGCAGGTTATCATGAGAAGTAAGTTCAGGTCCTGGATGAGGAAGAGTTTTTCGAGACTGTAGCGTCTTTGCAGAATAGGAACAAAAGTAGCTGATGGCAGGGTGGAGAATGATACATAATCTTTGGATATGTATCATTTCTTGTCATACTCTGTCAAAATTGAGATAAAGCTTAGACAGGTAACTCTTGTGTACATTGCATCAATTAAAAAAGTTCAGTCCTGACTACATAGAAATGAAAATTTTTGATATTATTCTAACTTCCATTTACTTGATTGTTCAGCCGCATTCTATTTCTTGTCTGCCATAATGAAAGATGAAGATTTATTTAAATAGTATTCTGAGCATCATTAATCTAATTAGCATTTTCAGCATCATTAATCTAATTAAGTATCAAATTCCATACTTCCTAGTGTCAACTGCAGTTGATAAGTTAATATAAAGTACTGATTTGATGGATTATTTTAATCTGATATTTTACATCAGTGCCTGTATTTTTTAATATTAGTGTAATGGGAAAAGCTAATATACACTCTGGCCAACCAAATTGCAACACCAAGAAAGACAAGAGATATCACAACAAAATTTATGTAGTAGATAACATGTTGACCAATTATCAAATGATTAAATTTATAGAATTTCTGTGAAGTGTGGTTCCTTCCAGAATCAGTAGTCAGAGTAGTCACCATTGTTGGAGATCACCGCTGCCACACGCCTCGGCATTGACTCAAAGAGACTTTGGATGTGTTCTTGGGGTACAGCAGACCAAGCAGCTTCCACACGTTGTCAAAGTTGATCTGGTGTGGCAGCTTAGGATGTAATGTGGGTTAATCGTTCAGTAACCATGGACCACATGTTTTCTATCGGCGAAAGATCTGGAGAGCGAGCTGGCCAGGGAAGCAATTCAATTTAGCAATTGACGAAAAACCCTTGGACAATGCGTGCCATGTGTGGTCACGCATTATCCTGTTGAAATATGGCTGTAGGCAAGAGCTGAAGGTAAGGAAGGACAACTGGCTCCAACACCTCATAGATGTAATGCTGGCTGTTTAAAGTATCGGCAATGCGTACACTAGAGGAGTGCGAGATTCAATACCCTCCCATACCATAATACCCGGTGCAGGACTAGTGTGGTGGTGCATAACGCAGCTGTTCAGCATCCTCTCTCCACAGTGTCTCCAGACTCGAATCCAATCATCATGGTGTTACAGACAGAAGCGTGACTCGTCAGTGAAGACGATTTTATTCCATTGTGCTGTCCACATCCTTCTTTCATCGCACCATTGGCGGCGGCGGAGACATCTGTGGTTCTGCGTCAAGGGTAGACGAAGCAATGAACGTCTTGCGGACAGGCCATTCTGCTTGTTGTAAATGGCGTCGAATGGTATACACAGACACTGGATGATGCGTTACAGACTGAATGTGCTGTGCTATGGTTCGTGATGTGACTGAGCGATCCGTCAATGCCATGCGCACAATGTTCCTGTCATCACGTGAAGTGTTGCACTGACGTGGATGCAATCGAACACGTCGGTCTGTTGTACCCTCTTGCATCCAGCGGTCACATATCCGCATTACAGTTGTTTTGTTTCGTCCAACACAACTACCGATTTCCCTGAAAGATAATCCACACTCTCGGTAGGCCACTATCCTTCCTTTCTCGAACTTGGATGCTTGATCAAACGTTGATCGCTGTTTACTATGATGCATAATTGATCGGGTTTTTTTTTTTTTTTTTTTTAAACCACAAGAAAAACACAATTGCCGAACTTGAAATCGTCGAAAACTCCAAGTCTTAATAGCGCTTTGAAGTGGTGCCATGTGCATCTGCGCTGAAATTCTAATCATTTGCATATCTCACCTCCGCTAATGCATGTTGTAAATTTCATGTTATTTGCATGCTTCCTTCAGGGTGTTGCATTTACGGTGGCCAGTAGTGTATTTTTAAAGTTCCTTAAAACTGTGATTTCTATTTCCACACATACGTACATTTTATAGCCTTTACATGTTAAAACATGTTGCTTAATGTAGATATGAGGACTAATATTTGAAGCACTATGTTGAAGGGGAAAATAGTCTTAATTTTGAAAAAGTAAAAGGTGTAATGAACAATAAATGAATATTTTATAACCTGTTTATTACAATACATGTTCATTAATTTTGTGAAATTAAATAGTAAGATGAAATTCTTTGTCTGAAAACAGGAAAAAAAAAAAAAAAAAAAAGTGTCATTTTGAATTCTAGTATGAAAATAAATGTTCAACAATATTTTTGTTAAAAGCCTTTTTTTTTTACCAATACTTTTCCCAGCAATTTCAGAACAAAGATGTCTTTTACATTTTTAATTAAAATAGCTAAATTCATTCAGAAGAAAATTTTTAATTTTAATTAATTATAAAAACTAAATAAACTTCCTAACATGACTTTTGTGTATTTAATTTACATAGATTGATTATAATTCCCTCAAAACATAAAATTTAACTATAAAGTAACCAAGATAATATTTTGGATTCTATTTTTGTACATATGTGTGGAAAAAAGACTTTGAATGAAACATTTTTGCAAACGTGAAAGAAGGCATTTTTATATTTGACCACAAGAACATCAAAGTATTCTCAACACAGTGTGCCTCATACAAATACATGAAATATTTAGAATAGCTAATATAGAAGATATTTATACAAGGTATGATAAAATGTGTGCATTATTTATTATTCATTATAATTTGGGTAATGAAAGCTTTGAAGTACAATTTTGTAGAATCCATTAATTAAAACATTTACTTGTAATATATTAATTAGAATTCAGAGTTAATTTTGGATATCTGATTATGCTGTTTGCATAATTAATATGCTTAACAATTTAGTTTACACAAGAAATGTATTTATTTCAAAAATAAAATAGGGATTTAATATTAGCTTATTGATTATCCAAATTTGAAAATTGTTTGTAAAATTTAAGAATTTAAGGTGAAAAAATTAGTTAATTTTATATACAGTATGTAATTTTAGACTAT